TATGTACCACATGGCATCACATACTCCAGAGTCAATCTCCAGCAGTGCAAATTGAATATTGAATTAACGCAGATCTAGCCTTCATGGAAAACTGTTGATAAAAATGATTAGAAGTTAAAAAGGAAAACAGATGTTAAACAAGTTAGAAGTTGGACTACACAGCATGATGGCAGACTCTGCAACAACAACACTTGGTTTACCCAAAGCATCAGATTTCCATTGAACTGCTAGTAGATGCCACCAGAAATACAGCCTGTTATTTTTCCAAAGCTGACTGATCTGTTGTACATTCCCAGCATTTTTCTGTTCTTATTTCAACGTGCTTTTCCGCTTACAGCATCACAAAGGATCAATTGCAAGTGATTAACACGGAGATACAACATAACTTGTACAAGGCAGTTTGTCCAGAAATTTTACATTAAATTTACCATGCTGCATTAGCAAGATGCAAGTTGTCAAGTTTCAACTGAACACATATAGTAGATGGAATAGACAGTGCATTATGGAGTGCAGTCAATCACTATTATAAAATGAAAAGCCCAGTGATGAATGCTCATCTCAGAAAGATACAATACTGGTACACAGCAGACAAAGTAAAAGGAGGGAAAAGACAAAAATATTATGAATGCAGATGGCTATCTTCTTTTGAAAAGAAAAAAATAAAGATATCGTGCCACAGAATCCTACCGAATATTTAATCCTGAAGTTTGTTCCACATTCTCCCAACTTTGCAACTTGGCCAGTAATTTCTAAAATATTAAAGAAAATATGGTAAAAATCTGGAAATCATTCCTTGATGGAAAATTCTTAACATCAGAAAATAACAGAATGATAGAACTGTACAGTTCAGAGAAGGCCCATCACTGGTGAACCAACTTCATCGACTACCTCTGTAAAAGCAATGAGAAAATCTGTTTCATCACTATTTCAGATGAACTATTTTAATTATTAAAAATTCTTCAACCCTTTTCTCTTTTTCTTAAATGAACATCTTAAAAGATAATTGACTAGACCAGCAAACCAGAAATTAGAGAGTTAAGTATGTAATAAAAGACCGCAAATGTAGTCACCTCCAAATTATTCCCAATCCCAAGGGCACTTGCAGAAGTAGAATGATAAGGCAGATTGAATGTGTGGCTGGAAAGATAGTGCAGGAAGGAGGAGGTCTTTATTCCTGGGACACTGGAACTGGTTCCATGGAAGATGGCATCTGTGCAAGCCGGACAGGTTGCACCTGAACAGATCCAGGACTGAGCTCCATGAAGGGCATTTTGATAGTGCTGTTGGGTCGAACTTGGCAAAGATGTGCAAACCACGACAGAATATCAGAATACCATAGTTTGCAAAATATTTGGAGAGACAGAGAGCATTAGTACGCAGGATAACGAGTTAAGGGTGAACTGAAGAAAAGGAGAAAGTAATGAAGTCTAAACCAGTGTCACTGAATGTGTACATGAATGTATGGTGAAAGTAAATAAGATTTTCGGGAGTTACAACGGCAGATTGCCATGTGGAAATAAGATGTTGTGCTAATAAAAGAGGCCTGACTTGAGGAAGGGTGCGAATGGGTTTAAATATTCCTGGGTCCAGATAGGCAGAAAAGATAGAAAAGGAAAGGGAAAGGGAAGGCGAGGAAGAGGAATGGCAATATTTTTTAAGGAGTGCTTGAGAAAGAGGATATCTTGGAGGATTCGAGAACAGAATCAATTTGCTGAGACCATAGGCCATCAACTATCTAAGACATTCTTAAATCTCAACTGAAGTATTCTGTACAATTCTGGTTGCTACAATATAGTAAAGACCATTCAAGAAACTGCAGAAAAGGCTCACAGGAATGGTTCCATGGATGAGAAAGTTCAGTTTAGGTGATAGATTGGAATAGTTAGGATTGTTCTCCTTGGAGAGAAAGTAGGTACAAAGGACATATAAATAAATTTACAGTCATGGCAGGCTAGATAGAGTAGTTAGGGAGAAACTGCCCTGCTCATGAGAGGGCACAGATTTAAAATGATTTACTAAAGAAGCAAATGTGATGTGAAAAACGAAAGCTTATTTCACAAGATTGATTCAGAAATGGAATGTACTGCCTGAAGTGTAGCGGAGACAAGTTCAATTGAGTCATACAAGGGGGTATTGGAAGATTATTGGAATCGAAACAATGTAAAAGGGTGTGGTGAAAAAAGCAGGAGAACAGCAATCAGATGAGATGTTTATCTCAAGAGCCACTGTACACACAGTGAGTTAGATGGCCTCCTCCTGCATCATAACATTTGTGATTCAATATGGCCCCTTACTACCCATTTAACGACCAATGTTTCCATACTATTGCACCAAGGCACTTCACAATTCTAAGCCCTCTTTCAGTTCTCCATTTAATTTTCTCTACTTTCCATTAAGAGAACAACACCTCTTTCTCCACTCTCTCTTCATAACTTAAAGCCTCTCAGTTCTGGTATCAGCAAATCCCTCCTATACTCTTTGCACATGAAATCCTTCCTATAGTGAGACACTGAAAACCATGTACAACATTCTGTGGTTTGAGGAAACAAAATGTTTTGTTTTAGCTGCAAACTCAGTACAGATTATGAATCTGTGGAATTCATTGTCCAAGACTGTGGTGGATTTGGGACAGTGAGTAAATTTAAGGAGGAGATGGACATATTTTAAAATGCTAAGAGTTAAAGGAGTGGGCAGGAAATTAGTGTTAAGCCAAGGTGAGATTGGTCATGATCGTATCAAATGGCAAAGCAGGCTCGAGGGGCTATTTTGCCCACTCCTGCTCCTGGTTCTTATGTTCTCGTGAAAACATAGACTTAAATCCATCAACAGTATAGCTAATCTGATCTATGATTGCAAGACCCTCCACTCTTACAAGAATGGGAAGGAGAAAAACATTTGACACATTTCACCTAATCATATCATGACAATCATTATCTGGAAAGGGGGCAAAGAAGGAAACAAGCTGAAAGAAACAAACATGAACCTCATTCTCCAATTCCAGAGTAACCTTCTCTTCCTTTAACTTCTCAAGACGTTCAAGCTTTTTACGAAGACTTTCTATTTCTTCTTTCATCAGTGAATTGTTATCTTCCACTTCCCTGTTTGTAGAGGATAGGATTAGTTTGGGATATAATCACATTTTTCATTCTTTACTCCATTAATCAGAATCAAAAGTTCTTTCAGACTGCAATTTCAAACTCGAATACATGCAGAAAGGTTTAGAACAAATTTCATGTTCTGACGTAAAGCTGAAGACTTCGTCAACCAGCTTGCTGTCCCTTCACTGATGGGGTCACAATCTAAATTTCAGCTTGATAGGATGAAGATAAGATAGAAGTTCATGGTATCTTCAATTCTTCCTATTGGATTCAAACCCACACCAAAAATCTTCCATATAATCAAAATACAGAAGATGCCAAAAATCCAAAGAGAAAAGAGAATATTGGAGAAACTCAGCTGGTCTGGCAGCATCTGTGGACAGAGAACTTCTTCAGTTCTGAACAGTAATACCAAACTTGAAATGTTAATTCTGTTTCTCTCTCCACAGATGTTGCCAGGAGTTTCTCCAGCATTCTTTGTTTGTACCAAAAAATCTTACTTCATTTGCAAAGAAGTTGGCAATCTCATTCAAAAATGGACAATAGCTCAAAAAATACAGACAGCATTTAACCATAGTGGATATAAGTGTGACACCTCTGCAGAACCACCTGTGCAAGTGATCTTAAACTGAAATACATAACAAACCAGCAACGTACACAGATTCAATAAGTGTACACCATATTCACAGACTAGTTTTTTATGATCAAAGAGGCTGATCTGAACTGGAGGGATATCTTTATTTCAGTATATTACATGAAAATATTGCATGTTATAAGCAAGATGTTTCACCAGAAGAGATGAATAATCCAAATGATCACAATTACTTACTTGCAATAGGCATTCTTCTCCTTCAGCTGTCGAAGCTCTTTCTCCAGTTCAGGGATTCGAGCTAGATCTGACCGCATGTTCTTTACAATCACCGAGTCTTGTTCTTGCTGAGTCATTTTATTCTCTAATTCCTGAAGAATTAAGAAACTAAACATGAGCATCAGAAACGTTAAGCTTCATTTTCTAATTCCCATTTTTCCTCATACTCTCCAGATAATGTTCCTGGCACATCATTTTGTGAAGCAGTCTTGTCACACTTTGTCCAACTGTTTTGTTTTACATTGTAATTAATCATTCAGCAGTAAATCATGGTGGATTACTCAAAAACAGGGAACATTACTGCTAAATTCAATCTATTCTCACTCTTAATTATTACAACAGTAGCCAGTGGATAACAATTGGAAGCACAAACAGTGGATGACCTCTTTTCCTTCACACATTCCAAGTTCTCGAGGTTGACCATAGCAAGCTACTGGTATCCCCAGCTAAGTAAACCCCAATGAGAACTGAAGCTTTGAGCTTTTAGTCCACATGGCTTAAGTACTTCAGCACCAACATTCGTAGTAGTCTATATCACAAAATCCAATTGAATCCCCACCTTACCCAAGCCCTTCTTCAAGCACCTCATTTGGCAACAGCCATCATTCTGCAATGACAAACACAACATCGTGTTTATTTTTCTGTGAACAGAGAGAAGGGTCAAAGTGTTGCTCACCTTCAATCTCTGCTCATTCTCAGCATTAACCACTTGAGCAGCTTCAAGTGTCTGAATCTTTTGCACAGCCTCTTGCCACTTCCTATTTAGGGAAAGGAAACAAAGTTTAAAACAAGTTCGGTCCCAGTAAGTCTAGCTGAAATCTCCAAGAACAAAAGAGGTGACGTAAGGAGATTTTTCTTTAATTTCAGGTTTATTTTTTCATGGGTCTACGAATCTCTACCACTTTCCTTTGCAAAATTTCTACAGAGTCTTTCTTCTATTCCAATGTCTCAGCCACACAAGTGAGGAAAATTCCAGTTCAATCTCCTTCTGAAGTGGACCTCAACTAGGGCAGTACTAACATCTTAAATTCGGTCGTGGTTTCCCTAAGTTAGGACAGCCAACATTTACTTGGGTTCCATTCCTAAATGTTATACCTCTGCAGAAAATGATAAATCAAGTTCATCTGCAAAGCCCACTTGGATGATTGGCCTTTTGACATTTACTGTCTTGACTCACCTATGAGTGATAATCACGAGTGAGGTCGCAGAGGGCAAATGCGCCCAGTAAATCTAATCCTAGTGATGAAGTCCATTTAGTAAAGGACAGAACATTGCAGATGTCAAGCCAGGCCAGGATAATGGAGTCAGCAGCCATTTCAAACTGTTCTGTTGCCCGATGATGCTGAATGAAGATAATGGCAGTATTTGGACTCTTATGTGACTCGGACAAGAAACTGAAGCGTTGCCAGTTCCATTGGAAACAAATTCCAAGATAAATCAACACCATCAAGCAACAATGGGAAGTAGAATGAAATTACAAAGAAATTCTTTTGTTTTAAGACTTTTAGAAGTTTATAGATTTTTAGCTTTCTTCCCAGGTTCAAGAACTCCGACTACATCAATAGTGAAAAACAGAGATGAGATTAAACAACCAGTATAGTTGTGCTTGATGGTGTATAAACTGGTTTATTTTTGGACTTACTTATGTTGCACTTCCACTTGCTCACGTAGCTCCTGGCACTCCGTGTTCAATGTTGTCAGCTGGATTTCCTGAGTCATCTGTTGCTGCTGCTGTTCTGATATCTTAGCTTTCAAGACATCAATCATCTGATTTATAACAGGGAAAACACTATCATGAGAGGAAACATTCAAATAGTTGTGCCCAAAGTTCAACTTGCAAGATTATGTTAACTAACCTTGCATCTCTTTTATCAGTCAAATTTTGCACACTTTTAAAGGAGACATAATTGTATTTTACCTTTCTGAAATTGAAACAAACTCTCCACCTGACAAATGATAAATGTTTCATAGCTGTTGCTATTTCAAAGCAAATATAAAATAAGCACAGCACCTGCTCGAGGTCAGCAGTTATGTAACAAGGGGTGGATGGTCATCTTAATAGGAGTCAAGCGTTTGTATTGAAGAGCAAGATCTTTCCAAAAACAAATATCCCATGACAGGAAATACAGGTAGTTCTGCTATAACACGTGTTTCGTAAACACGAATTGGCTGTAATGCAATTGATGAATAATGGATGCTGCTTGGATAACACAAACTCTCTGCTATACAGGTATAGCAACTTTCTATAGCAATTTCCTTATGACAATTTTCTACGGCAATTTTCTCTAGCACCATTTTCTATAGCACAAGGTCACACAAGAACGCAACTATTGCATCATAGGAGAACTACCTGTCCATGGATGAGAAGCATCTTCCACGATCTAATTTGTTTTTAAGTAACAACTTAACATTCAAGCACAGAATATTTTTTTTTTTCCTTTGTTCATTCACGGGTGAGGGCATCGCTGGCTAGGCAGCATTTATTGCCCGTCCCTAATTGCCCAGAGGGCAGTTCAGAGTCAACCACATTGCTGTGGGTTTGGAGTCACATGTAGGCCAGACCAGGTAAGGATGGCAGTTTCCTTCTCCAAAGGACATTAGTGAACCAGATGGGTTTTTCCAAAATCGACAATGGATTCGCAGTCATCATTAGACTCTTAATTCCAGATATTTATTGAGTTCAAATTCCACCATCTGCCGCGGCAGGATTCAAACCCAGGTCCCCAGAACATTATCTGGATCTCTGGATTAACAGTCCAGCGATAATACCACTAGGCCATTACCTCCCCCTTCTAAATAATCAATGCAGTGATGCAGATAAGGAAAATAAAGGATTTAGCAAGTGTATTCTTCTATTAGTTTCAACTTTCTTGCATGGTGCTGCAATACTAAGCATCTACCATAAGAGGTCCTCTACACTGTAAAAGACCATAAGATATAGGGAGCATAATTAGGTCATTTGGCCCATTGAATCTGGTCTGTCATTCAATCACGGCTGATGTGCTTCTCAACCCCATTATCTTATTTTCTCTCTGTAACCTTGATCCCCTTACTAATCAATAACCTATCTGTCTCGGTCTTAAATACTCCCAATGACTTGGCTTCCACAGCGATCTGTGGCAATGAGTGCCATAGATTAACTCCCTCTGGCTGAAGAAATTCCTCATCTCAGTCCTGAAGGGTCATCCATTCACTCTGAAGCTGTGCCCTCAGGTCCTACTAGTTGAAACATCTTCTCCAAATCCACTTTATCCAGGTGACTCAATATTCTGCAAGTTTCAATCAGACCCCACTTCCTCCTAAACTCCATCGAGTACAGATCCACAGTCCTCAACCACTCCTCATAAGGAGCCCTTCATTCCCAGGATCAATCTTGTAAACCACCTCTGGAACCCTTCCAATGCCAGCAGATCCTTCCTCTGATATGGGGCTCAAAACTGCTTACAATATTCTAAATGCTGTCTGACCAAAGTTTTTATACAGCAGTACATTTCTACTCTTGTATTCTAGTCGTATTGAAATTGTTATGGACCAGGCCAGACACTCAAAATATTTTAAGAAGGTAGCCTAGACCCTAACTCTTTTTTTATTTTTAAGGTAGATATGAAGTGGACGTTCCAGGTGTGATGCAACTAAGAAAAACAGAATTTATTTAAACACTACAGTTGAAACACGAACAAAAGAGAGCAGAATTTAGAATAACTTAACTATTGAAAAACTTAACCCAATACAGCAAATTAACTAATTATCTGTTCCAATAATATGAACATCCCATAAATACACCCCTTGACAAAAAGGTAAATTCAAACACAGATTCTTACAGGCAGGCGGGAACAACATCCAGAGAGATTTCAGAGAAAGTCAGTTAGGAATCCTTTACTGAAGCTTGCAACCCTTCTGGTACGCTAAACATTTTGTGACTGCTACAGCTAAAAAAAATTATAAAACCCTGAGCTAGGAGAACTGGCCACTCCTCTTCTATTGTTAAACTGCTTTAGCTTTCTAGCTCCCTAGACTCTTCGGCACTCTGTCCTTACAACCACTCTTCAGAAAATCCCAGGACAAAATAACCTTTTTGAAGTGACAGCATCATCACAAAATCAATGTTAACATTGCATTTGCCTTCCCCACTGCCAACTGAACCTCCAGGTTAACTTTAGAGAATCCTGAACTCAGACTCCCAAGTCTCTTTGTGCTTCAGATTGCCGAAGCCTTTCCCCATTTAGAAAATCATCTACAACTCTACTCTTCCTATTAAAATGCATAACCTCACACTTTCCTACATTGTATTCATCTATCACTTCTTTGCCCACTCTCTTAGCCTGTTCAAGTCCTCCTGCAGCTTCCCAGCTTGTTGAACACTACCTGCCCCTCCATCTATCTTTCAGTGAATACAAACTTAGCAACAATTCCCTAAGTCCATTCATCCAGATCATTAATGTAGAAAACGTGAATTGTTGTGGTCCCAACAATGACCCTTGACAAAGCTGTGTTAACTCAGTCCTACTTTACCATGTACTTCCAAGTATTCTCATCCTTAATAATGGACTCCAAAATCTTATCAATGTCCAAGGTCTGGCTAACCTGCCTATAGTTTTTAGTCTTCTGCCTCCCTCTTAAACAGGGGTGTTACACTAGCCATTATCCAGTCCTCTGGCACCCTCCCTGACTCCAGTAATTCCTGTAAGATCACCACCAAAGCCTCTACAATCTCCTCAGCTATCTCCTCCTGAAGTCTGGGGTGCAGTCCATCTGGCCTTGGTCAATTATCCACCTTCTTCTTAGTGATGGCAAGTATACTCATCTCTGCCCACTGACTCTTGAAGATCTGGTATGCTGCTGGCATTTTCCACAATGAAAACAGATGCAAAGTACATACCTCCGCCATTTTTTTGATCCCCATTACTACTTCTCCAAGCTCATTTTCCTATGGTCCAATGTCTACTCTTGCCTCTCTCACCTTAAAATACCTTTTAAAAAAAACTCTCAATCTTCTTTGTTACCAGCAACTTTCTCTCATATTTCATCTTCTCCCACCTTAATGCGTTTTTGATTATCTTCTCATATTTTTTTAAGAGCTTCCCAATCCTCTGGTTTCCTACTAATCTTCATCACATTGTATGATTTTTCTTTTGTTTTTGCTTTTATGCTGTCCCTGACTTACTAAACAAATATTACAAATCCCCTTGTGGCATACCATTGGTGCTGTGGTGACAGTACTCAGCTCCAAGCCAAGCTACAAATCTCACACAAATAAAAGCTACATCAACTCTCCACTGTAGGGGAGGTAACATTATTGGAGGAGTTGAAAAAAATGCTTGTTGGTATAAATGCTTTATAAATATGTATTTTATTTCTTAATTTATAGCAGAAATCCAAAACTCTATCTGCATAAAATATCAGTGCAAGAGTCATACAGCATAGAAACATGCCCTTCAGTCCATCTCAAACTGATAGTTTTCCACTCCCGTGAAAGTTTCCAGTGTGATGATTTATTCGTGCACAATAAAAGGATGAACTTGGCAAAAAGTAAAGATTGTCACACAATATCTCAAAAGTGGTCATACACTGTTCCCTAACATATCATTTTCTGAAAAGAATCCAATCAATCTTGAACTTGAATAAATAAATACAAAAGTGCTTCCTCATTTGTCATTGGGAGCCTGTTCTAAAGATTGCCCATATAATTTCTAAAATACTGTTTCTTCTGATTAGTTTTGAATTTACAACCCTCCCTGCACTTCTTTCCAAGTGCACATCCTACTTGTTTAGATAAAGGCAAAGCAGTCATCATGGTCAATCTGAAATAGTCTCTTTAGATTCCTACAAACAATAATTATAATACTTGTAAAAAATTTCCTTTGAAGAAAGAACAATTTGCATAAAAATTCCACATAATCCAACCTTTCCAAAATTCCAAACATCTACTTCTGTACACCTTCAATGACTTGCATATAATTCAATTTGTTATTGGTGTAGATAATGGTAACAAGACAAAAGGAGCATATCTTTCAATTATGAAAGGCAAATTTAAGACAGAAAAATTTCTTCCCATGAATATTAATCAACCTGTAGAAGGAACATCTGCATAGGTCCTAGGAGACACATTGCTTAGCATCATTTAACAAATCTATTTTCAAATTGTTCCACTGCCTCATCCTCCCCCATCACTGTAATCTGCTCCAGCTCTACAATTGTCTAACAACTGCTCCTTCCTGCAATCCAACGTATGGTGAATTCCCTCCCTTTAAGTCATCACCTGCCTACCTCTGGCTACATTTTGGCCAGAAGTCCTAGCTCTGTGTCAAAATATTTCTGATACTGTTTCCATGAAACATCTTGGAGTATTAAAGGCATTACGCAAAGGTACAAAAACAGAAATTATTTGAAAATCTCAGCAAAGTTTGGCATCTGTGCAGAGAAATCAAGAGTTAAGGTTTTGGGTCCAGTGACCCTTCTTCAGAATTGGACCGAAAACATTAACACTGATTTCTCTCCACAGGTGCTGCCACACCTGCTGAGTTTTTCCAGCAATTTCTGTTTTTGTTTCTGATTTCCAGCATCCATGGTTCTTTCGGTTTTTTTTGTTTAATACATAAAGGTAATTTAGTGCTGTGGTAAACAACCAATCTTTATTCTGCCATCATGGGAAAGTAACCAGACAGAAGATGGGACTTTTCTTACAAGCTCAGAATATCAGAGACTAGATTCCAAGGCAACTGTCTATGGTTAACTGACAAATGTCACTAAGGGTGGAGTCAATAAAGAATGCTAGAAGACAAGGAGAAAAGTTAGGAGAATTAAGTACACTTGAAAATATTGTTATTTGGGATTTAGGTCAACAGTTTACATTTTATGTTGACTACGTTATATCTGTTGCAGAATCTATTCTTTACCCGATTAGCTTCAGCAAGCTTTTCTTCTTTTTCTTGGAGTTTCTTACTTTGAAGCCCAAGGTCCTCTTTCAATGACTTATTGATATCAACCTGATCCTTCAATTTTGTCTCAACATCTGCCTCCTTCTCCCGCAGTTGTTTCACCTGGGTTATTAGCTCCTGGTTTCGATCTGCCTCCCGCTACAATTAGAAGAGAAAAATACAAAATAGAAAAATAGATACTTCAAATGAGAATAAATTATTCATGTAAAATATTAACAGTTCTGATTTGAAATCATAACTTAAATAAGAACAGCATATAAATAAGGTTAGCTTTCAAGGTCAGTTTGTGATAGAAAAATCAAAAGAACTGCAGTTGCTGTAAATCAGACAAAAACAGAAATTGCTGGATAAGCTCAGGTCTGGCAGCATCTGTGGAGAGAATTCAGAGTTAATGTTTGAGGTCTGAGGAAGGGTCACCGGACCCAAAACGCTAACACTGATTTCTCTCCACAGATGCTGCCACACCTGCTGAGCTTATCCAGCAATTTCTGTTTCTGTCCTTGAGATAGGCAAAATTAGTTGCTCAAGCTCAACTACTTCCATTGCATATAGAGACAAAACAGGTTAATCACAGTCTGTAGTTCTGTGTTTCAATGTTCTCAAACTTGTCATTTGAGAATAGTGAGGAAGTAGCATAAGATTTACAAGCTGAGGAAGAGCTGGCAAGCCACAAAGTCAATTCTTACTTTTCTTACTGTAAAGGTTATATTGCTGGACAGGTGATCTAAAGGCTAGACTAATAATCAAGAGGAATTGTGTTCAGCCCCACAGTGTCCTGGCACCTAACAACGCTGTGCGCTGACAAAACACAGACGACAACTAAAACCAGAAGATTGCGAAATGTGAAGAGTTTTTGATATCAGAACAGTTTGAAGACGTTCCTACACCGCTGTCAGTACCTCATAGTTCCACGAACTATTTTGTGCTGCTTTCTCCAGCTCAATCCTGGCCCGTTTATGACTGACCTCCATCTTCTGTTTCTCCCATTCCACCTCTAGAATGCGTGAATGCGAACGAACGTAGTCAGCCTGCTCTTCGGCCTGATAAACACGTGGCAAAAAAACGTTAACACGTCAACTTTTTGGGGAGTTGATGCACTGGTATGGAGGGAGTTAAGGGAGGTTGGAAGAAGAGATGTTGAACTGTATTGAAGACATTAAGAACGTAAGAAATAGGCACAGAATGGGCCAAACGGCCCTGCTCCACTATTCTTCAAGATCATGGTTGAATCTTTAGATCAACTCTACTTTATCTCCATTTCCCTTAATGCTATGGGACCTCGATGTGCTAAAACAAATCCTAGGAAATGTTCCCAATGACATACATTCCGTTTGTTTCTGCACCACCCCGATCATCCACATTTGCCCGCCCCAACCACCCATTTCCTCCTCTTGTTTCCCGAGAACATCCTTCAAGAAATCCATAGTGTTCTTTATTTTGCAGACAGGAGACGCCCAAATAGTTGATTGAGACTACGGTCCTGAATCTAAATAAAAAGGAAACTACAATAGTGTGAAGCCATTAAATTGGGTGACTCAAAGGGACAATAATGGATAGGCAATGGCAAATATTTCAAGAGTGCATGGAGAAACTGCAACAACTGTTCATTCCTCTCAAAACAAAATGGGAAAGATGGTCTGACTACGGCTAACAAGGGAAATTAGGAATGGAATTAGATCCAAGGAACAGGAAGACAAATTGGCCTAAAAAGGCAGCAGGCTTGAATCAGTCATAGTCATACAGCATGGAAACAGACCATATGCCCCTCATGATTTCATAAACCTCTCTAAGATCACTCCTCCACTTCCTTTGCTCTAGCCAAAATTGTCCCAGCCTATGCAGCCTCTCCTTATAACTCAAATCCTCCATTCCTGGCAACATTCTGGTAAATCTTTTATGAACCATCTCCAATTAAATCATATCCTCTCTCTTGCAGGGCAACCAGGACTGTACACAGTACTCCAAAACTGGCCTCACCAATGTCCTGAACAACCTCAACATGACATCCAACTCCTATATTCAATGGTTTGAGCAATGAAGCCAAGTGTGCTAAATGCCTTCTTAACCACCCTGTCTACCTGTGATGCAAATTTCAAAGAATTATGTGCTTGAACCCCTAGGTTTCTCTGTTCTAAATCACGACCCAGGCCCCTACCATTAACCGTGTAAGTCCTGCCCTCGTTTGTTTTACCGAAATACAATACCTCGCATTTACCCAAATTAAACTCTATCTGCCATTCACCCAATTAATCAAGATCTCTCTGTAATCTTAGACAACGTTCTTCACTGTCACTATACCACCAAATTATTGTCATCTGCAAACTTACTAAGGATGAGGAGCAGTTTAGATTTAAGCAAAGGAGAATAAAGGCACTGAGTATGAGGTTATAAAAGCTTCTATAGGTATGTGAAGAGAAAATGATTAGTGAAGACAAGTGCAGGTCCCTTACAGTCAAAAACCAGAGAAAGATTGTAATGGGGAACAAAGACACAGCAGACCAACTAAATACATATTTTCATTCTGTCTTCACAAAGGAAGACACAAGTAACATCCCAAAATTGCTGCAGAACACAGCATCTAGCGAGAGGGAGCAACTGAAGGATATCAGTATTAGTATGGAAATTGAATTGAGGAAATTAATTGGATTAATTGTCAATAAATCCACAAGGCATGATAATCTACATTCCAGTGTACTTAAGGAAGTGGCCCTAGAAATAGTGGTTATCTTTCATGATTCTAAAGACTCTGAAACACTTCCTACGAATTGGCGTATAGCTAATATAACCCCACTATTTGTGGGATTAGCATTGTTGCCCCCACAGTGCCAGGGCCCCATCGCCTGTAGAAGTCTGCAGATCCCATCACTTGCACTGAAGGGATTCTACGGCTGTTTAAAAAAAGGAGAAAACAGAATTATTGACCAGTTAGCCTGACACTGGTAGTAGGGAAAATACTAGAGTCCATAGTAAAAGATTTAATAGCACAGCACTTGGAAAATAGTGACAGGATTGGATAAGCACAGCATGGATTTATTAAAAAGGAAATCATGTTTGACAAATTTACTAGAATTTTTCAAGGATTTAACTCAAAGTTGATAAAGGGGAGCCAGTGGATGGGGCTTACTTGAACCTGCAGAAGGTTTTCAATAAGGTTCCACATAAGAGATTGAACTTAAACCATGTCATACTGACATGAATAAAGAAGTAATTGGGAAACAGGAAACAAAGAGTAGGAATAAATGAATCTTTTATCATGTGGCAATCGATGATTAGTGGGGCAACACAGGGATCAACACATGAACCCCAACCATTTACAGGGGGAGGCGATGGCCAAGTGGTGTCATCACTGGACTGTTAATCCAGAGACCCAGATAACATTCTGGGGACCTGGATTTGAATCCCGCCACAGCAGATGGTGGAATTTGAATTCAATAAAATACCTGGAATTAAGAGTCTAATGATGACCATGAAACGACTGTTGATTGTTGGGAAAAATCCATCTAGATCACTAATGTCCTTTAGAGAAGGCAACTGTCATCCTTACCTGGTCTGGCTACATGCGACTCCAGACCTGTAACATGGTTAACTCTGAACTGCCCTCTGGGCAATTAGGGATGGGCAATAAATGCTACCTGGTCAGAGATGCCTCATCCCGTTAATGAAGTTTTAAAACATTCACAACATATATTAATGTTTTACATGCAGGAACTAAATACAATATCTCCAAGTGTGCAGACAATGCTAAGTTGGGTGGAAGGGTTAACAGTGAGAAGGATGCAGAGATTTGGCCAAGTTGAGTGGGCAAATTCATGGCAGATGAAGTATAATATGGATAAACATGAGGTTATCTACTTAGTAGCAAAAACAGAAAGGGAAGTTATTATCTGAGTGGTGACAGACTGGCAAAGGAAACAAGAACCGAATGTACTTCTAGTCCAGTTGCTGAAAGCAAGCATGCAGGTGCAACAGGTGGTGAGGAAGGCAAACGGTATATACGCCTTCATAGTGAGAGGATTCAAATACAGGAGCAAGGGTGTCTTACTGCAGTTGCACAGGGCCTTGGTGAGATCACATTGGAGTATTGTCCTCAGTTTCGGTCTCCTTATCGGAGGAAGTGCAAAAAAGGCTTATCAAAGTGGTTCCTGGGATGGCAAAATTGATATAAGAAGAGAGACTGAATTGGTTAGGACGATATTCATTGTAGTTTACAGGAATGATGGCACATTTCATAATAACCTATAAAATTCCAACAGGACTACGCAAGGTAAATGCAGGATGTTGGCAATGACCGGGATGTCCAGCACCAGGGGGTCACAGGATAAGAATACAGGGGAGGCCATTTGGGACTGAGAAGAGGAGAAATTTCTTCACCCAATGGTGAGCCTGTAGAATTCTCTGCCAAAGAAAGCCGAGGCCAAAACTTTGAATGCTTTCAAGAAGGAGTTATATTTAGTTCTTAGGGCTGAAGGGATGAAAGGATATGGGGAGAAAGTAGGAACAGGGTACCGAGTTGGATTATTGGCCATAACCATATTGAATGGTCGAGCAAGTTCAAAGGGCCGAATTATGTACTCCTACATTGTCACAGAAACATAGAAAATCAATGTACTAACCTGTATTCTCTGCTCGTACTGCAACTGCAACATCCTAGAGACAGAGCTTGGCTCGCTAGTCCTGGGTATTGTAGCCGAACCTTCTGACAAAAAGTTGTTGAAGGAACGTAAAGTGGAGAAGACTGTGGTATTCTCACTTAGATCATCCATTCTGTCTCCTGCTTTGCAACTGTTAAAAAATACACCAAAACACATTGTTAGGAAAAATTCTTTTTCAAGAGATGAATGTTACATAGCCACCATGATGTGGAGGTGGACAAAGTTAGAAGTCACACGACATCAAGTTATAGTCCAAGTTTATTTGGAATCACAAGATTTCAGAGCATTGCTCCTTCATCAGATAAAGTTTTTTTTTTAGAAGAATGAGTAGTGTGTCAACAGATTGAAAAACAAGTCTTTGCAGGTGATCAATAGTGTAAAACAGTGTGATTAAAATGTCAACAGCTGAATAACAAGTGAAGGGATGAGCTATGAACTGATTAATTGAGCAGAGAGATAACCACAAATAAATTTCACTTTACCTGACAAAGCAGCAGCACTCTCAAAGCTTGAGATTTGAAATAAACCTGTTGGACTATAACCTGGTGTCATGTGACTTCCAACTTTGTTAAGAAGTATTTTCATCCTCGAAATATTACCCCAGCCCAGTCAAAGCCACAAAGCTGATTTTCTTACAGCTCTTCAGCTACCAGGACCTATACAAATGGAGCTTGGATTTGGTTATTGATAGTCTGAGTGTACAAGAAAGCAGCACTAAGAGATTCAAGAATCTGCCTTCTTCTCAGCACAGAATTAGAAACGAAAATAAAACTCCCAGCAGAAATAGGAAGAGCGAGGCACGGAGACTGTAGCATAATTTTGGACGAGGATTTAAAGAAGGCTCTGTTTGTCCTTTCAGATGGATGCAAATGATTCCATTGCACCATTTTGAGGAAGAGAGGGAGTACACCCTGTTGTCCTGGACAAAAAAAAAGCTTATCCTTCATTCAACATCATTCCAAGGATGATCTGGTCATCAACCTGAATGGAGGGATCCTCCTAGAAGAAAGATTAAATACATTGGGTTTTTGTTTTCTGGAATTTAGTAAATCGAGAGGTGATCTCATTCGAACATACAAAATTCTTATATGTATCAACAGGAAGGATGCTACCCTCGGCTACAGGATCTAGAGCCAGAACATAGGCTCAGAATAAGAGGCAGGTCATTTTGGACTGAGATAAGCAGGGATTTCTTCACTCAGAGGGTGGTGAATCTTTGGAATTCCCTGCCATACATAGCCATGGAGGCTCAGTTCTTGGGTACATCCAAAACTGAAATTGATAAAGGCTGTAACTCTGTAATGCAGCAGCCTCAAGACTACCCTTTGCCACACCAAAGAATTTGCCAGACTACAGAAAGTCACATGTGCAATACACTCCCCAAGATTCTGTCCTGTGCCATTCCCTCACGTCAAGACCGAAGGCCCACATTTGGCTTATCCATCTGCTCTCTTGGGCCACCTCATCTGCTGAAATTCCTGAGGAGGATGCAGTGATGGTGCTGAAAACGACAACTTTGAGGAAGTACTTCAGAATACCTGCACCTCCTGATGGAGTTCTGAGAGGGAGGAAGCGATTTAACTACAACACTAATAAACCTGGCATCTGGCTAGCAGTCAATCCAGTTAGTAATTACTATTCCCTGTGTAAATAACAATAAATCATTTGTTACTGACTACTAATGTTTTAAAATAAACCTCAAAAATGACTGGAGTGACTTTAACTGGAAATACTCCGTGTCAGATCATAGTGGTTATCAGACTTAGGCAAGGCTGGATAAGGGATGTACAATCAGTCGCGAAAGCATCAAGGAATACAGGAATAGCACAGGAAAATTATGAAGAAGTCCAAGGTTAGCCATGATCGCACTGAATAGCACTGCAGACTTGCAGGGTTGCATGGCCTACTCCTGTTCCTATATGTGCTCCAATGTACTTCTGTTCTTATCTAATAAACACAAATATTTCTGATCTTCTCAGCTTTGGGCATGACTTGATTTCAAATAAAAATTTTAACCCACTCAAGATCTGTAGAGGGTATCCTGAAACAAAAGAAGTTAGTTTGTAAGCTTATGTGACAGCAGTGAACTCCATATTTGAATTCAGAGATAGTAGGAACTGCCGATGCTGGAGAATCTGAGATAACAAGGTGTAGAGTTGGATGAACACAGCAGGCCAAGCAGCATCAGAGGAGCAGGAAAGCTGACGTTTCAGGTCTGGACCCTTCTTCAGAAAAACTCCATATTTGAAAAATTCCATATTTGAATTGCAAGCTTTCAACAATCTTGTTCAGTGCTTTCCCATACAATGGTGCAGCTATGATCAGAGATTAGTTGAGACGGTAAAAAGGTACACCTTGTTTGTGGTCAATTTTAATCGCACTATACTTTAAAACCATTAGACAACTACACTACACAGCCCACTGACTCTGCTCCACCATTCAACAAGATCATGGTTGATCTGATAATCTAGCTCCACTTTCCTGCCTTATATCCATAACCCTTCATTCCCTTACTAATTAAAAATCTAACAAAGCCTACAATAAACTACATGTCGCAGCCTCAATAGCCCTCCATAGCAGCGAATTCCATAGATACACTGTCCTCAGAAAAAGTTTCTCCTCATCTTCATTTTAAACAGATGATCCTTTATTCTGAAATTATGCATTCTGGTCCTAGAAGCTCCCACAAAAACAATCTCTCCACACCTACTCTGTCAAGTCCCTCTGAATGAGTACAAGTCCAAGTACTCAGTCTCTTATAAGAAACTCTCTCCATACCCAGGATCAACCAAGTAAACCTGCTCAGACTGCCTCCAATGCCAGTATATCTTTCCAACACAAGGGGACCAAAACTGCTCCATTGTCTTCCCCATTACCTGCCAATCGTGGGTGCTAGCTTTTTGTGATTCAAGTACAAAGATTCCCAAATCCCTCAGTGCTATAGCATTTTGCAATCGCTCTCTATTTAAATAAACATCCAGCTCTTCTATCTTCCTGCCAAATTGTGTGACTTCATACTCTCCCGCGTTATATTTTGTCCAACCATAAAGTTTTTGCCCACTCACTCAACCTATATTTGATCTGCAGACTCCATCATCCTCATTACTTGCCTCCCCACCTATTTTTGTGTCATCCAGAAACTTGGCAATACCAAATTCAGTTTTGTCATCCAAGTCATTAATACATATAACTGTAGCTTTCTACTAGTTCTATCTATTCAGTAGATCATAAGTGGGTCTTTATTGACTAAATGTATTCCTACTGTTCTTATAAAGGTGTGGCTCACTTGGCAGCATTCTCACCTCTGAATTACAAGATTCTGGGTTCAGGTTTCCAACTTCAGGGTTTGAACACAAAATCAAGGTTGACACTCTAGAACAGTAGAGGATTACTGAATTGTTGACTTCCTGTCTTTCCTGAAATGTTAAACCGAGGCCCCAGCTATCTGTTTGGTTGATGTGAAAGATCCCATGGCACTATTTCAAACAGGAGCACAAGCATTACCCCTGGTCTTGGTAAATCTTAATCCCTCAAATCAATATCACAAAAAGTGACGACCTGCGCCATTATCAGGTTGTTTGCGGGTGTTTACTGCATGCAAACTAGTTGCTGTGTTTCCACTGACAATTAGAATACTGGTTCTGTAGTACCTTGAGACGTCCAGTGGTCGTGTGAAACGCTATAAATTTGTTTACGGAATGGCATTTTTACAGGTACTGTCATTTATCAGTATTTCCTCCCATCGTTCGCAGTCTACTCAAACATAGCAAGGTTCTCAGTTGTAAACGCTGCTCTTATCAGCCAATATTGGAGTGCACACATGTCCAGCAGAGACTGCCGTTTAAGAATCGGAAGCAAGGACCCATGGCACATCCGAAAGGCACAAACAGGCATTCTCCCTTTCACATCAGATAACTCAGTCCACAACAGATTCCAATCTGCGATGTTTCTTGTCTCTAACTGGATAACTTCACAAGCCACAAAGGAAGCCCTTGGAACACCGTTTCATCGCACACGGCTAATAACACGCTAATAATACACGGCTAAGAAGGGTCCAGACCCGAAACGTCAGCTTTCCTGCTCCTCTGATACTGCTTGGCCTGCTGTGTTCATCCAGCTCCACACCTTGTTATCTAAGACTCCAGCATGGGCAGTTCCCATTATCCGCGGCTAATAACACTCGCTTTTTGGAGGATGTTAGAAGTCACAAGCTTTTATTAAACATTTCCTGCAGAAACAGGTACAACGCCCGACAGTCACAGAGAAAGGGGGTAAGAGGAGGCACAGCACCCGAGGGGAACACTCAGCCAGCCGGGGGCACCGACTAGATGTGAACATCCTCTGGGGAGCCCGCCACCACAGTCTATCCGAAACTAAATTAACTCTCCTGAAGCGGTCCTGTCACCGCCAGCACCGGCTGAAGCCCCAGGCTGCAACTGTATTAACGGGGGACACCCGGCCTGGAGCTATATTAACAGGAATCCCTCGGCCTTAAGCACTGACCTACCGGCTGTTCCCCCAAAAACCGGCCGCTCAGCGCTTGGATCTCCCTCCTCCCCGGATCTCGCGAGATCTCCAGCCCGGTTGGGGAAGGCGGGGCCGACCTTCTACCGCTCTCCTGTAATAGAAGCGCACTCATCCCCTCCCACCCCCGGACTCGAAATGTTAAATGTTTCCCTCTCCGCAGAGACTGCCAGACCTGCTGAGATTCTCCAGCAATTTCTATTTATGTTTCTGCTTCTCCCTCTACAGATGCTGTCAGAAGTGCTGAGTTTCTCCGGCGATTTCTGTTTTTGCACCCAAGAGATTGGCAGCGTTTCTGCCACATCAGCCTCCACCTGTTCCTTTTCAACCAACTACATCAGCACAAAAGTCTATTCCTTTCATCCTTCTGTGTATATGGTTGTCGTCTCAATTCCTTGTGGGAGCACATTCCACGTTTTGTCTCTAGACATAGAATGGTACAGTTTGGGAGGGTAGGCAGATCTCCACGCCGTACCAGCTCTCCATAAGACCCACTAAGTGAGGCTGCTCCTCTGCTTTCTCCCATATCCCTTGAAATTATTTCTCAATTGTCCAATTCCCCTTTGAAGTCACAACTGAATTTGCCTCCACCACACTCGCAGTTAGTGCATTCCAGATCCTCACCATTCCCTGTGTAAAAAGGTTCGTATTCACGGCGCCTTTGCTTCTTTTGCTGATTTTCGTAAATCTAGTTCAGGATAGTTCCAATGGGATACATTTCTCCCTGTCTGTCTTGGCCTCTAATGATTATGAACATCTCAAACAAACCTCCTCTCAACTTTGAACAATCTTTGTTTTACCATTCTTTCCACTCAACTAAAGTATCTCAACCCAGGACCTTTCTGAAAGGAACAGGATTTCAATCCCCAAGTTTGTTCTGTTATTCAATTAGATTATGATCTGTTTCTTAATTAGGTTGTCTATCTAATATCCTTGTCAAACAAATGTTTAATCAAGGACAGTTTTTAAATTTCCAGTTGTCCCTCACCATCATTAACTTTTTTAGAGTTCCATATTTCTTCTGTAATGTGTGGAAAAAGTCCTTCCTGGCATCATCTTCATGCCAGCTCCAATTTGTTCTGGACTGTCCACCAAGGAAATTGTTGTTCTCCATTTACACTTTCAAAACTTTTAATTACCTTTAACACCACAAATATGCTGGTCCCTTAGTTTCCTTCCATCTAGAATACAAAAACATTCAATCTGTTCTCATAACTGAGACATTTTAGCCTGTGTCATCTTGGCAAATCTGCACTGTTTTAAGAGATACCCAAAACAGAAAACAGTGCTCCAGCTGTAGGCTAAGCAGAGGTTTATACAACTGCAGCCTAACTGTATATATGGATATGAGTTTCATTGGCAAGGCAAGTAATTGTTGCTCATCCCTAATTGCACACAAGGAGATGTTGGTGAGCCATTTAGTTCGAGCACTACAGTCTTACATTGAAGGTATATGCACAGTGCAGTTAGGAAAGGAGATACAGTTTTTTTTAAATCCAGCAGGAATGAAGGAATGGAGATATAGTTCCAAGTCAGAATGATGTGTGGACTGGAGGTACTCGCGGGTGCCTGTCCTCCCATACTTCAGAAGTCCTTGGCCTTCTAGGTGGTATTTGAAAGATGTTATCAAAGTTACCACCCTGCAACTTGCACATGGTACATACTGCAGACACCATTCATCAGCAGTGGGGCAGTGAATGTTTAAGATAATGGATGAGATGTTGATCAAGTTGGGCTACTTTGTTCTGGATGATGTTGAGGACATCCACTCTTTTGAGACATTAGGCTTTATTTGAATGACAAAACACAAAAAGCCAAGTATGTTACTATATTTTTAGAAAAGATATTTCATACAAATTCTATATTTGTGTATTGGTACATTTTCCAGCATTAGAATATACTGTGATTCAAATTTTGAAAACAAAATGATGCTTTAATAGATTACAGATATTTCAAACATTGAAGAAAAGTTTTTGTTAGAATTGTATATGATTTTTGTACCATCAGAAGGTAATATACAATCAGGATTACACAGCTGAATTACACAGTTTCCATTGCTGAACAAGAAAATGGTTTAAGTTCACATAAAAATGCATATAGCATTAAAAACGATGCAGTATAAAGACATCTAACAGCTTTGAGGAGCCATGAAGTTTTTTATAGCCTAACAAAGTAATTCTGTAGTTGTAATAAGGAAAGGATACAGCAAATTTGTGGTTTGGGGAGACACTAGCCTAGCAGTATTATCATTGGACTGTTAATCCAGAGACCCAAGTAATGACCTGGGAACGCAGGTTCAAATCCCACTATGGCAGATGGTGGAATTTGAAATCAATAAAATTCTGGAATTAAGAGTCTAATGATGACCATGAAACTGTTGTCAGGAAAAAAGAAAAGCTGGTTCACTAATGCTCTTAAGGGAAGGAATCTGCCATCCTTATCTGATCTGGCCTACGTTTGTTTCCAGACCCACAGCAATCTGGTTGACTCAAATGGGGATGGGTTATAAACACTGGCCGAGTCAGCAATGCCCTCATCCTATGAATGAAAAAAAAATGAACAGAGATCCTATGAACAACAATGCAAGGTGTTCATTGATTAAATATTAGCCAGGACCCTACCAATTCTTTTTTTTTTGAAAAATCCCACATGATCTTTTACATCCTAAGTGGACAGATGGGGTGTCCCTTTCATAGCTATTCAAAAGGTAGCACCTTCAACAGTACAGAAGGACCTTAATGGTGCACTGGGAGTATCAGCTTACACAGTGCTCATTTCTGGAGGGTGAGATGAACCCATAACCTTCTGATAAGAATGCAACCTACCAAGAGAGGGCTGACTCCTAACATGGATCAGTGTGCTGTAAAAACTAAGCGGGTCTGGCAGCAGAGAGGAATAGAGTTAATGTTTTCAATCCAATAATGACACTATTGTAAAATCAAATTGGACTCCAAACATTAACTTTATTTTTCTCTCCACAGATGCTGCCAAACCTCTTGGTTTTCTCCAGAACTTTCAGCTTTTATCACAAAAGCAGATTTTTTTTATTCTTTATTCATTAACAGCATGAGGACATCACTAGCTAGGCAGCACTTATTGTCCATCCCTAATTGCCCAGAGGGCAGTTCAGAATCAACCACATTGCTGTGGGTCTGGAGTCACACGTAGACTGGACCAAGTAAGAATGGCAGTTTCCTTCCCTAAAGAACATCAGTGAACCAGGTGGGTTTTTTCCCGCAACAATCGACAATGGATTCATGGCTATTACTAAATTCTTAATTCCAAATATTTTACTGAATTCAAATTCCACCATCTGCCGTGGTGGGATTTGAACCCTTTTCCCCAGAATGTTATCTGGGTCTCTGGATTTATAGTCCAGTGATAATACCAATAGACTATTGCCACCCTCAGAATTGTCTTCTCATTGTCATATGGCTTTTTGTAGGAAGTTGCTCTGTGTAAATTTGCTGCCACATTTTCTACATTACAACAATGATGACACTTCAAAAGCACTACTTTGTGACTTATAGCAAAGGTTCAGTGGTCAGGACATTTTAGAAATGCAATTTTTTCACTCTAACCAAGTGGTGGACTGTCAGCCTGAGCATAAGGGGCAAAAGTTGATAGAAGGATAGGGAGAAAATGTAAATAAGCAAACTCTCTCAAAAATTGTTAGATTGCCGCAGAAATTTCCTTGAGCATAAACAGTCACTCTGAACCATCAACTTTTCCTGTAGTGCTTTGCTAAAAAGTAGATCTCTGATGATTCCTTCCTACTTGCAGCCAACTTCAAAGTCTTCACATCTCTAAACAATTCTGTGAGTCGCTTTTGGATGAGGCGGCTGTTAGTGCCATCCCAGAATTTACAAAGCAAGGTGCCACCAGGACTCAGGACCCTCCTGGCCAGTCCCACAACACACAAGCATAGCTCAGCCAGTCGCTGCTGGTCCAGTTCACGGATCCCACTGGCATTTGGTGCCATATCGCTGAGGATCACCTCAGCCATTCCCGTCGGCAGGGATTTCTGGATTTGAGCTTGAATGGTGGGCTCCAGGAGATCAGAATAAGGCAGGAACACAGCACCATCAAGAGGGGCTATGTGTAATCGATCAACACCCACTACAAAACCCACAGGAGAATCTGGATCTGGAGATAGGGAAAAGGAAATCAATGGCACCAACAAAATAGAATAAATAAAGATAAGCATTTTATGTCTTGAAACTGGCTCCTTGGCCTGTTTATCTCACTCCCTCCTCAATCGATATTTAGTTATGTTCCTTCATGTAAACCAACCTTAGTTAAGACAAGGCACAATCCCAAACATGTTTAACGATTTGTAATGATTAGTTTCTTTAATTTAACTGTCTCTTCTCGAGGATATAAAGTGCAAGAAATCTATAGGCTGGTACTTTAGCTAAGTGACATTCTTGAATGGGACATGGATAGAGGTGTTAAAGAGAAGTAACACTCACACCTAAAATTAAAATATCACTCAAGAAACTGAAGAAAAAAAACTACAGACACTGCAATGCTGACTATAAATCAACTACAAGCAGAAATTGGTCAGTCTTTTTAGAAAACGCCAAAAAAGATGCTTCTGAACAAGAAAGTATCTTTATTGCAAAGCAGCAATCGGTAAGGCCTTCATTTCTTTACAATTGCTCCCTAACCTTTCCCTGCATTGTTGGAGGTGCCATGTTTCAAATGAGGCATTAAACCCCAGACCACATCTGCCCCCTTGAATGAATTTGAAAGATCCTATGCTATTATTCAATGAAGAGCACAGAACTCTCTCTGGGGTCTTCACCAAATCCTCAAACAAAACCTTTAGAAACAGATTATCTGGTCATTATCATATGACATATTGTTTATTACAAATTGACCATGTTTTCTATATCACAACAGTGACTGCTCTTCAAA